TTTACAATGAGATGGTGCAAGCTGCGGGTGCTGGGTCTCGGTCTGAAAATCGGGTGGCGCGCGATGACATGCGCGAGCAAAAGGGTCATCACCTCGGTCCAGTCGAGGAAGAGCACCCTGAAGGAGGTGAGGACGAAGAGTACACTCACTAGAGGGGTGATCTCCGTGAGCATCTCAACAGAAAGAGAAGCTCGTCCATCGAAAGGGACAATCTCCGTCTTGCTCAAACAAGAACTCCAACCAGCAAGCCGAGTCCTCCTATAACCCTATAACTCCCGAGGGAGTGATAACAAGGGAGGAGTTCGACCAGCTAAAGAGCAAGTTCGATGCTCAGGTTGAAGCCTTGAAGGCTAGATGCGAGAAAAAAGAAAGTCCGTTTGATGATGGCGACCTAGGAGAGTCGTCATTCACCTTGGACATCTTGGAGGCCCCAATCCCTCCGAAATTCAAAACTCCCACCATGAAGCCTTATGATGGGTCTAAGGACCCAAAAGACTATGTTGAGGTCTTTGAAGGCCTCATGGATTTTCAGGTGGCAACAGATGCAATTAAGTGCCGCGCCTTCCAGATCGCGCTCATCGGCAGCGCGCGCCTGTGGTATCGAAGACTGCCGGCCAGGTCGATCTCAACCTACTCCCAACTGAGGAAAGAATTTATTAGCCAATTCTCTTTTAGGCACTACGATAGAAAGACAGCAACTCACCTCGCCACCATTAGGCAGAAAGAAGGTGACGCTGAGAGAGTATGTCACAAGGTTCCAGGAGGAGTAGTTGAAGGTCGTGCACTGCTCCGATGACTCGGCCATGTGTTACTTCCTCACCGTGAAGCTTGGAGAGGAGGCTCCAGCAACCTTCGCCGAAGTTTTGCAAAAGGCGAAGATAGTCATTGATGGACAAGAGCTCCTTCGAAACAAGACTGGCCGACCTGAGAAGCGGATCTTCCAGTAGCCGACCTTACGAACGTTATACTCCAACCACCATCCCTATCTCTGAGATATTTACAAACATCGAAGAAAGTGGGATGGAAAAGCTCCTCAAGCGACCTGAGAAGCTCCGAGGAGACCCAGAAAAGCGCAATAAAGATAAATATTGTCATTTTCATCGCGACTACGGCCATAATACATCAAATTGCTGGGAATTGAAGCGCCAAATTGAAGACCTCATTCAAGATGGCTACTTCAAAAAATTTGTTGGAAAACCGAGGTCCAACTCGGTGGAGAAGAAAGAAGAGAGGAAGCGTTCAAGGATGCCACCTCGTCGAGATGACCGACATGCGGTCATCAACACTATTTTCGAAGGCCCTAGTGGGGGCCAGTCTGGAAATAAAAGAAAAGAGCTAGCTCGTGAAGCCAGGCGCGAGGTATGCATCATCAGGGAGCAGAAACCGACTTGCTCCATTAGCTTCGGCGATGCCGATCTGGAGGGGGTCCACTTGCCCCATAATGATGCACTTGTGATCGCCCCTCTTATCGATCATGTCCTGGTCAGAAGAGTATTGGTAGATGGAGGCGCGTCTGAAAACATCTTGTCCCTCACAACATATCTGGCCTTGGGATGGACCAGGTCTCAGTTGAAAAAGAGTCCAACACCCTTGGTTGGATTCTCAGGAGAATTGGTCTCTCCAGAAGGGTGTATCGACTTGCCGGTTATGATTGGGCAAGATGATACACAAGTAACCCAAATGGCCGAGTTCGTTGTGATCGGCGGAAGGTCGGCCTACAACGCCATCTTCGGGAGACCCATTATCCATTCGTTCCGGGCCGTTTGCTCAACACTTCATCAAGTCCTGAAGTACTCAACTCCTAATGGAGTGGGCACGGTCCGAGGAGAGCAGAAAACCTCAAGGGAGTGCTACGCCTCCGCGCTCAAAGGGTCATCAGTATACGCCCTGGAGGAACAAGCTAGCTGGGACGAGTTGCCGAAGCCCGAGGCCAACCTACTGAAATCAAGTAAAAGGGAATTCTCAGCACCAACAGAGAAGCTCGAGCTTGTTCCTTTGCTTAGCCCCAAGAGACAAGTAAGCATAGGAACCAAGCTGGGGGCGACTACTAGGGAGGAGCTGATCAACTTCCTCAGGTCCAACTCTGACGTCTTTGCATGGTCTCACGAGGACATGCCCGGCATCGATCCAAAGATCATGGTGCATCACCTCAACATAGACCCATCATTCCGACCTGTAAAACAGAAAAGAAGACATGTAAATAAGGAGAGGAGTGATGTAATTGTTGAGGAAGTAAACAAAATTTTAAAAGCTGAATATATAAGAGAAATTATGTATCCCGAGTGGCTCTCTAATGTTGTATTAGTTAAAAAAGCTAACGGGAAGTTGAGGATGTGCGTAGATTTTACAAATTTAAATAAGGCATGCCCAAAAGACTGCTTCCCATTACCGAGGATCGACCAGCTCGTAGACGCAACGGCCGGACACGAGCTGCTCACCTTCATGGATGCCTACTCCGGATACAACCAAATCAAAATGAATGTGTCAGACCAAGATCATACCGCATTCATAACAGACCAAGGTCTGTACTGCTACAAGGTGATGCCCTTGGGCCTAAAGAATGTGGGTGCGACCTACCAAAGGATGGTGAACAAAATGTTCGCGAAACAGATCGGCCGGAATATGGAAGTGTATGTGGACGACATGCTTGTCAAGAGCAAGCAGTCAAAGTCGCATCTTTCCGATCTGGCCGAAGCCTTTGGAGTTCTACGGAAGTATCAAATGAAGCTCAACCCAGCCAAGTGTGCCTTTGGAGTCTCCTCGGGGAAGTTCCTTGGTTTTATGGTAAACAACCGAGGGATCGAAGCCAACCCAAAGAAGATAAAGGCCGTGCTCGAGATGAAAGCGCCCAAAACTTTGAAACAGCTTCAGTGCCTCAATGGAAGGATTGCAGCTCTGAACATGTTTGTCTCGAGGTCAACAGATAAGTGCCTTCCTTTATTCAAAGTCCTAAGAAAGAAGGGACCGTTTGAATGGACGGCAGAATGCGAGCAAGCATTGGAACAATTGAAAAACTATCTCTGCTCGGCACCTCTGCTCGCAAAGCCGTTGCCAGGAGATAAGCTCCACTTATACCTGGCAGTGTCTGACAGCGCTGTCAGCTCGGCTCTAATCAAACAGGAGGGAGTGCGCCAAAGTCCCATTTATTACACAAGCAAAGCTATGACCGAGGCAGAGACCAGGTATCCTCAAATGGAGAAGCTGGTCCTCGCCTTAGTCACCTCAGCCCGAAGACTTAAGCCGTACTTCCAAGCGCACACCGTCGTGGTACTTACCAATTTGCCCTTGAAGAACATCTTCCATAAGCCAGAAACATCAGGACGCCTGATGAAGTGGGCAATGGAGTTGAGTGAATACGACGTTCAGTTCGAACCAAGAACTGCGTTGAAGGGGCAGACAGTGGCCAATTTCATCGCGGAGCTCACCCCACCGCCTCACTCGGCCGAGTCCGATCTCCCGTGGACGGTCTATGTTGATGGGTCTTCCAATGAGAGAGGGTGCGGAGCAGGAATCCTCTTGCTCGCACTAAGTGGCATGCAGTTTGAGTACGCCCAGTGGTTCAACTTCCGGACTTCAAACAATGAGGCGAGTATGAAGCACTTTTAGCAGGCCTACGCGTTGCCAAAGGATTGGGGGTCGTCCATATTAAGGTCTTTAGTGATTCCCAATTGGTCGTGAATCAGATTAAGGAAGAGTATCAAGCAAAAGATTCCCAGATGGAAAAATATTTAAGTAAAGTCAGATCGCACCTCGCCCAGTTCAAAACTTACGAGGTGAATCAAGTGCCAAGATCAGAAAATTCCAATGCAGATGCCCTAGCCAAATTGGCGTCGGCATATGAGACCGACCTGGCCAGATCGATCCCGGTTGAGATCTTGGACAACCCTTCAATCTTGGAGCCAGATGTGATGGAAGTTGACACTCCAGCACCTTCATGGATGGATCCAATCGTGGAGTTCATCAAAGGGAATTCGCCGCAAGATCCAAAAGAGCACAAGAAGATGGTGCGAAAAGCAGCTCGGTTCATACTTCGAGATGGAGCATTGTATCGGCGAGGATTTTCCCTGCCTCTCCTTAAGTGTGTGACTCCAGAAGATGGGAATTACATCCATCAGAGAAATTCACGAAGGAGTGTGCGGCAACCATTCAGGGGCCAGGTCGTTATCGGCCAAAGTGGTCCGACAAGGGTACTACTGGCCCACCGTTAATCAGGATGCCAAGCAGTTTGCGAAAGCCTGTGATAATTGCCAGCGCTTTGCAAACATTATCCATCAACCTCCCGAGCTGCTCACCCCCATCTTGGCCCCGTGGCCATTCGCACAATGGGGAGTAGATATCATAGGTCCTTTTCCTCTGGACAAAGGGCAAACCAAGTTCGCTGTTGTCGTTGTGGACTACTTCACCAAATGGGCCGAGGACGATGCGCTCTCTCACATCACGGAGTCTAGAGTCACATCTTTCATATGGACGAACATTGTATGTCGTTTCGGTATACCAAACACTATTGTGACAGACAATGGAAAGTAGTTCGACAATGCAAAGTTCAAGGACTTTTGCAGTAACCTGGGAATAAGTCATCTCAGGTCGTCCATTGCTCATCCGAAGGCAAACGGGCAAGTCGAAGCAATAAACAAAATTATAAAACGAGGACTTAAGCTGAGATTTGACTCCAGAAAGGGAAGATGGGCCGAGGAGCTACCCGAAGAATTATGGTCATATCGGACTACCCCAAGAGAGTCAACTGGCAAAACTCCGTTCTCACCGGCCCTTGGCTCTGAAGCTGTTGTTCCAGTTGATATCGGCATGCCAACCGACAGGATAGAGCAGTACGAACCACTTAGAAACGAGGCCGAACTGCTCCTCAACCTCGACCTACTAGAAGAAAAAAGGGAAATGGCTCAGCGACGCTTAACAGAGTATCAGAACAGAATGACCAGACATTACAACACCCGAGTTCGACCTCGAAGTTGGGCATTTGGTCTTAAGGAAGATTCAGGGTCATGTGGGCACCCTTGACCCAAGTTGGGAGGGACCGTTCGAGGTTAAAGGCATAGTCCGACCTGAAACGTACATGCTGGCCGATCTGGAAGGAAGTGTGCTCGCGCATCCATGGAACGCGGAGCACCTAAAGCGCTATTACCCTTGAAATGTCAAAATGGTCCTAAAGTGGACTTGTAAAAATTTTCATGGGGAGGAACTGAATTGTTAATAAACAGAGTTATTTAATTTCGTGATTCCGAGTTCAATCAGAAATTAAGTGGGGGCCACAGACTCCCATAGGACTTACGGTTTATAAGTATAAAAATTGATTAAATTCAATCCTCAAAGCCCACGGGCTCGAGGTGCGATGTCAAAATCAATTGCGAATCAACATTCAATCCTTTGAACGCTTAAGTTAAAGGTGCGATGTGAATAATTCAAAATTGTTTAATATTATCTTTTGAACTTCCGAGTTCGAGGAGGAATATAAAAGACCAGAGAAGGAAACTCTCAAATTCAAACCTTAAAAATATCAAGTAAAAGGGGCGATGTGGAAACAACTCCTCCCACACTCAAACATTTAAACTTACGAGTTAGAGGTGTGAGATGAAATTATTAATATATCAGTTTAGAGTTGCAAAAGCAAGTTCAAAAGCATAAGGAAAAAGCAATGAAAGAAAAAGACAGAGCTAGATGCATAGAAGTAAGGGAATGAAGACTTCATTGATTGAAGGATAGAGCCAAGGCTTGTATACTTTGCAGCTCTGCCCTGAGACTTACAAAAAATAATAAAAAAAAATATAGAACAAAATCTACAAGGAATCTCAACTGCTCTCGAGGTGAGAGGATAACTCGCCTTGGGAACCCAGAAGGTTGACCTCCTGAGATCCGCCCTGCTGCGAAGGAACTTCTTCTTGGGTAATGCCGACCTCGTTAGGCTCCTGACTAGGGGCATCGTCTTCTTCCAAGTCGGAGCAGTCAGAGTGTAGATCTCTGACATACTTCTCCACCAGCGACTGAGGGCCTAGAGTATTGTTGGGCACGAAAGCCCATTTCTCAGCATACCTCTTCTTCAGATCGCCGAGGTCGATCTGGAGGTGGGGCATGTCAGCAGCAATGCCCTTCATCAGAAATTTGAAGCCGGCATCACTGAAGTCTTTGGCAAACCCATCAAAGTCTGGGTGTTGCCTGAATGATTCCTCCAACAGAACCCCGTTGGTGAGGTTCCTTCACTTCCTTGAGATCGGTCGTCAGACGCCCTATTGAGGTGTTCTTCTCCTCAAGGGCTTGAGTTAAATCATCCTTCTCTTTCAAGAGCTGGAATTTCTCCTTCTCCAGCCCTTTGGTGATGGCATGGGCTGCTCGGAGGTGGGCCTTGTGTTTCTCACCCT